TTAGTTTGTCTTTTTATGGGGCACGGGATTTCGACAGACAGACCGTACAGCATTCGCGCCACTGACTTCTATTCAGGGCCATATGTCTCACCGTCTCTAACCAACGACAATCCTCATCCCTTGGGCCCCAGCCTGGAAGGCAGGCTGCACCAACCGAAGCCATAGCTGAAGCCAGCTTCTTCATACCTCTACGCCATGTTGTGGTCTGACCGCCGCGGCGCTTCTTCCAGTTTTGCCCAGCACGTGCAAAGAGAGCACCGAAAGGTAGGCGATAAGCAGGCATACGCAATACTTGACAAAGCCATCGGAGGTGGTGTAGAGTGATTACTTCTGTTAGAGGGCGAATATCCGCACACAACACACGTCGTCATTGCTCACCCGATGTTCCCACCAGACACGAGCAATGCTTCGGAGATATCGGTGGTCAAATAGAGCAAGTCGATTAGCATCCTCAACGCGGAGAGGCCAGGTCTCGCAACCGTAAAGCAAAACGTTACGAACTGCGGCGGTGTACACACTTCCCTTAAGGGATAGACGGATATAATGGCGGTGCCAGGTGTCGCAGGTTGGCGAAAGTTACTATAGCTTTCGCTATCTGTGACGCGATCTCGTCCTTCACTTAGCAGCACAATGTCGTCTTCATACTCTATATTAGGCAGTTTGCCACCTGGGAGTAAATCGATGCCACTATCCTCGCACGAGGATAAATCTGTTTCAAGAATTAAATCTATAACACAGTTGACTAGAAAAGAAGAAAGAGGGCAATCCTGACGAACACCACTTTCCATGGTGAACTCGGGCGAAAAAGTGCCGTTAGCCCGGACTCGACTCCGGCTATTAGTGTAAAAAGAATATAGTATTGAAATCAACTTCTCTGGCACACCTTTTAGAGAAAGGCAGCGCCAGAGTTTAGAGCGGTCGACTGAGCCGAAAGCCACTTTCAGATCTAGGAAGACAGAGATGGTGGATCTACGAAAAGAATATCGGTGCTACAGAATTTGGTGAAGCGTGATGAAATAGTCGATACAACCTCAACCGGGTCTAAAACCAGCCTGGTTCTCACGCTTGCACTCTTCACGTGCGGCAGACAATCGATGGAGTAGGATGCCGGCGAGAAGTTTAGAAGCAATTTTGAATAAACTAATTCCTCTGTGGTTTTCACAGGGGGACCTGTTGCCTTTCTTGTAAATCGGTATGATCACCGATTCACAC